CTCTAAAAAAGCAATCACCACCTCTTCCAACATCAAGTGCAGTTCTGCGTAACTGAGACAATCTGAGTTCTAATAAACAAACAGAATTTGTGGGTGGTATAAAAGGTACTGATTTGCAATACTCATTTCCAGGACCAGGATTTGACTCCACATCTCTACTCAATGATATGATTCTGCTCAAAAACTGATACCTTTTCATTTGGAGCTGCCTTAATTTTCTGAAAATATTGCCTTCAGCTATCATACAAGACAAAGGCAAGTTTTTATGCTCTGGAGTCCTTGTTAGAAAAATACACAAGCTTAAACTTCGTCTAATGAAATACTTTTTGCCATCAGAGAGTCTGGTAGCCATTTTGTAAGAAATTCGGGAGGGTTCTCTTTCACGTGTCATTCTAAACTGAGGATGGGAGACAATGGTACTGTAGCTCTAGAATTCCTTACATTCACATTTTTATCTACATTTCTGTACTGGCAATTACTTGACGACTAAACTGGTATTTTATTTTGATTTTCAAACTGCTCGGGTATTGTAGGATTGCCTTTGATAATTATTTGCTCCTGACCTTAGTGTACATGTATTTTAGGTGACATTAGGTAACGGATCATCCGTTTGGCATTTGTTTGTTGTTTGATATTTTGTGTTTGTTATGGTATTTGTTATTTGGCGTATAATTTATTGTATTTAGCATTTGTTTGGCAGCTGTGTTCAATCTCTATAGCTTATCACAGTTGTGGCATTTAAGTCCCAGCGAGAGGGGAACTTGACGAAAGCTTCATCGATGTGCTTTTTCATGTGACATTTTCCGAACAGTTCCCTAGCGAATTGCGAAATATGTATTAAAAGCGCATTCAATTTTAAATCACACGTCCTGCGAGTATTTTTAGAAAATTCAAAATGCAATACAGTAGAAGGAGGGCAGATTACCTTTTTCCCCAGACCATAAAACATTCAATCCGAATAGTTCGTTTTGTGCATCCTGTTCCTCGTCGTCCAAATGTATCTTGCAGACATTGTAACTTTTAAGACTTTAAAACCCATTTCTTTCCACTCGAGCTTTCTTGAGCACATTTCCTGTTCGTTTGTGAGGTCTTCAAAAGTGTGTTTTGATCAAAGATGGAGCGAAAGGAAGGAAAACTCGCCTTGGCAATTTTTTCGTCGGGCTCGACACAACAGACGCCATTTTGTGAACGTATACTGTCACCTTTGTCCCACCCCCTCCCTCCACATATATGAACATAAAACAATGATACGACTTTGTGGACAAAATCAAACCTAGTATGGGGGACAGGGGGAAACGTGTTTAATTCATGTATAGTACGGACTTAATGCATAAATTAATTGTCTAACGGGAATGGAGTGACCAATCCAACCATCACTATACCTCATGGTATGAAGTACATACCATGAGGTAAAAAGGAGCCGAAATTTAAACCCAGGCCTTACTGCCTGGGCAATAAAAAATACTAACCTTGGTGAGCTTCGTGAATCTAACCCAAGGTGCTAGATGTCTTATTTGTACCATCACATGATTTTTTTTGCCAACGTGCTGCTTAGGTTGTCAGATGACTAATTTCTTAGCAAGTGCGTTTACTTCTGTTTGTAGACCAACCCACGATCACTGTACAACCACAAGCTCACGAAAAAACTGAGGGAGACACCGTTACTTTATCTTGTAAGGCTGATGGTAATCCAGTACCGACAATATCATGGACTGTAAATGGCTCCCCAATAGATGTAAGAGGCAATTCCAGGATCAGTTTTTTAGAAAACAAACAGCAGTTGACAATAAGGAATGTGGAAAGGACAGACAGCGGAGTCTACAGATGTGTGGCGAGCAACAAATTTGGAAATGCTACATCCGATGCTGCTTCACTGGATATTCAATGTAATGACATATCTGATGTTGATTTAGTTACCAAATGTGGCGAAAGCTCTAACTCTCCTTACAGTACAAAGTATTTTATGGTGCATTTTACTCACCGTATTGGTTTAGTTGGCTGTGAGCATGTAGTTCAATTAATATCGCTGGCATCGAATTGCTATGTCATATCATTACGGACAATTGGATTACTACGCTAAGAAGTGGCGTCACTTCAACATATAAGATAGCGTGATGATAGCATTACTACTAACTATAGAGGCCGTGAGAAAGTAAAAGCTAATTTTCCCATCTAATTTTTGGACTCCAGTGGACAGCACAAACCAATAATGATTAATCATTACATGTATATTCTTACGTTTTTATCCACTAGTTGAAATCTAAGCTTCTTCTAAGCTTTTACGTTCGGATTACAAAAAGAAATGTTCGAGAGTCGTTTTAAATCGAATGATGGCTTCAAGCATTAGAGCTAGTTAGCGACCAGTCCTGAACTCAATAACGGTGGACCAAATAAGACATTGCTAACCTGGCACCTTTCTTTTAAACAGAAAAAAACAACAACAACAACAACAGGAAACATTAACAGCAACTATCTTCCATCAATATGTTTTTTTTTTTTTAACCTTTTCTTTTTATTTTTATCTTATTTTATTTTATTTCTTTTTGTTTTTGTTTTTGTTTTTTTTGTTCTGTTAGTTGCACCTGAGATCTCCAAACATCCAAAGGATACTCAGGCAGTGGAAGGACAAGATGTTGTTTTGCATTGTTTGGTAGAGGGAAACCCAAAGCCGAGTGTTAGATGGACAAAAAATGAAGAAGAATTGAATTTAGCAGCAAATCCACGACTAAGCTCAGCTATAATAAACGACACACATAATTTGACAATAACTGATGTTCATCTACCAGACGCTGGTCAATACAGATGTCTAGCTAATAACAGTGTCGGTCAAACTACTTCATCTGCCGCGACGCTTATAGTGGAAGAATATTGTAAGTATTGAAGCCAATTCACCAATCAATCAAAAACCGCGGCAATGGATTTTCATCTTTTTCGACTTCAATAGGAAAGGGAATTTGTTAATTTTCCAATGCAAGCAAGTTGCAAGCAAGTTTGCTTGGCTGAAATTACCAGCTCATGCTTTCGGAGCGAAGGGTACAGTACCTTACGGAACTTTACGACTCGAGATGTGCCTTAACGAATTCTAATTCACAAGCCGGATTTCTGGTGCATAGAACCAAACCTTAAGCAAAAACACGGCAACCCAGATTTTTAACGGAAAAATTAGGACCGTGTCTTAATTTACCTAATTTCACAACTCATATTACCAGTTTAACATATGAATTGTGTGCTACAGAAACTCGTAACTTGGATGTTTCAGTGTAAGCTGAAATCTGAGTTGCTCGTTATTTGAATTCACGACATGCATTTCCACTGTTCAAGAAGTGCTTTGTGGAAATGCACAGGTCGAACTTTCAAAGTGTGAGTTATAAGAACTTGCTAATCAGAGTTTTTACTTCAAAAATTCAGATTTGCAGGTATATCACTAAAATTCACAACTCGTATTTTTACTCTTAAGTGTAAAAAATCGGAGTTGCGTTATTCGAAACAAAGCACAACATAATTTTATTGCAAAATTATAGCTGTGTTGCATTGTATTTGTTACAAAGATGCATTACTTGGATTTTGGGATGAACTTCAAATCCTTGAGGTGCTTTATCGAAATTTACAAGTCCGATTTCCATGGCAAAAATCCGAATTGTGAATTCATTGCAGCAATGTGAGACCCATGCCAATTTTTGCTTAGAACATTAGATTTGTGCTTTATTGAAATTTCCATCAGTAATTTTGATTTAAAATTGCTAGTTTAAAGTTTTGTGAGTTGTTTTTTCAACCAGGCCCAGGATTCGGCTGGAATGCTTCTTTTTTGATAAGATGGTAAGGAAACGGTATCTGGTAATTTTGTAATTGTTTCTATTATACAAGACATATATTTGCATTTTAGATCTGAATTTATGATATACAATCTAAGTAACATGAAATTTGTAACGTATTGAGCAAAATTATTTAATTACATAATCTTTGTATCTTAGGATGCT